AAGCAGACCGAAATTAGTTTAAGGCTGAGCCTTTACAAACAGAGGAGCACCTACTCCTAAATGATACAAAGAGAATAGCCTCACCCTCGGCAAAGGGAAACTTTGAAACCCGAAAGCTATGACCAAACTCCAAGCCTAACAAAAATGAAAAAGTTCCAAATCTTAGGCAGCAAAATTAACTTGCCACTGCACCCACCAAAGGGACCTAGCAAGCTAACAAAAGACTAAGAAAAAGAGAAACAAAAGGAACACAAAAACCACTAATCTAACACCCTAAACACCTGCACAAAATGAGAACTCAGACCATTCATTCAAGGCTAGATTGACTGTGTGCCACTCTGACCGCCATATTTGCTCAAAAAGCCATAAGTTCCTAGTTTTCCACATCCACCATAGTAAATAGCTAGTCAATTGAATTCTTGCTTCTGCCACTGGATTGTTTTTCAATGTGCAAATCTGTGACCACCAGTGTTTGATGGAGTCTGCTTGTAACCCATCCCAAGAAACCAAGGCAAGTCTCTAAATGAGTTTGGCTCTCCTGCAATTGAAGAACAAGTGTTCCAGGGACTCCTCCTCCTCTCCACATTACTTGCAAATAGTGTCAACTATGATTCCTCTTGAATGCAGGTTTGTGAGAACTGGTAATATGTTGTTCAGGCACTTCCAAATGAAGTGCCTGATTTCCGTTTTAACTTTGAGACTCCAGGTTCTCATCCTTGTCTTCTTGATTTCTTCTTGGTCTGCAATATCCAAGTGCCTCCAATGTGACTCTATAAACTTGGAGTAGGTAGTTCCCACTGAAAACTTGCCATTTGGGCTCAACTCCCACCTGAGCTGATCTGAGCAATAAGGATCCATGCCTTCAATCTTAACTATAGCTGCAATTTCATCCTTAGTGAACATCTGCTCTAACAGGTTTCTATTCCATCTCCTCCCAGACTCATCAATGAGATCACAAACCCTGTTAACCTCACTATTCCTAGGAATCTTCCCAGTTGGCTTAAAGTCTGGCAAATTTGGGACCTAAGGATGATTCCATATGTGCATTGATCTCCCATTTTTAACCTGGTACCTGATCCCTTTCATGAATTTATCTTTCAGTTTCCACAAACTTGACCACGGCCATGAACAGTTGCTTTTCTTCTTTGTTGAGAGTAAATCCATCTTGAGGGAAATATTTTCCTTTTAAGATTCTACTTACCAGCAGGTGAGGTTGGGAGGTTAATCTCCATAGTTGCTTAGAGATTAAAGATATATTGAAAGTGTGGAGCTCATGAAACCCCAGTCCACCCATCTTCTTTGGTAGAGTAAGACTTCCCCGACTTTTCTAGTGAATTCCTTTGGTGCCATTCTTCTTGCTGTCCCACCAAAAGTTTGCAAAGTGAGATGAGAGTTTCTTGTTCAGTGACTTTGGCATGAGGAAGCAAGAAATTGTGTAGGTGGGTAAAGCTGTCAAAACAAACTTTAGCATCACTTCCTTGCCTGCACTGGAGAGATAGGTATTTGTCCAGTTTGAGATTCTTTTCTGAATAGCCTCCTCTACAAAGGAAAATGTTGCATTTTTGGAATTGCCTATCCCAAGGGGGAGCCCTAAATACTTAGAGGAGGTTTGAGGTTGTATGCCCATTAGGATTTGACAGATTTGGTGCTGTGTGGCCTGAGAAGTGTTCTTGCTAAAGAAGATGGACGATTTGGCAAGGTTAACTGTTTTCCCTGTCAGTTCTTAATAGCTACTGAGGACTTGCAGAATGGTGTGAGCTTGAGTGGATTCAACTTTACAGAAGATTAGTGTGTCATCCGCAAAAAATAAGTGAGTGAGTACAAGGCAGTTCTTACTCATTCTAATACCTTGCAGATTTCCATTGGCAACTTGATAATTGATGAGGAAGGTTAAGATTTCAGAGATTAGAATAAAGAGGTAGGGTGAAAAGGGGTCACCCTGCCTTATTCCCCTTGATGGCTTTACATAACCTGCAGACTCACCATTCACATTAAAGGTAAAAGAAGTAGTAGAAACACATTGCATAATCCATCTCACAAAAATAACATTAAATCCCAATTGCAACATTATCATGCTCACACTGCTCCACTCCACTCTATCAAAAGCTTTACTCATGTCTAGCTTTAATGCCATATAATGATTTTTGCCTGATCTATGACACTTAAGAAAATGAATGACTTCATTGGCAATAATTACATTGTCACGGATCTGTCTATTTAGCATAGATTGGGTATCACTAATGCAATGAGGAAGATAAGTTTTTAGTTTATTGGCCAAGATTTTTTATATGACTTTATAAGTTGTATTACACAAACTTATAGGCCTGAATTGACTAACCATGGTAGGGTGATTGGTTTTGGGAATAAGGGTGATAGAAGACTGGTTCATGCTTTTCAGAATGAGGCCTGAGTTGAAAAAGCTATTAACAGAAGAGCATAAATCATGACAAATAATAGACCAAAAGGATTGAAAAAAGGCTGAAGTCATACCATCTGGCCCTGGGGCCTTTAGAGGATTAATGCTTTGGAGAGCTTCCTTGATTTCCTCATTACTCACTTGTGCCACTAATGCCATGTTCAGCTCCTCTGTTATAACTTGGCCCATCCTTTGCAACTGACTAGCACCAAACTGGCCTGCCTCTGTGGTGAAGAGTGAGGCAAAATATTCTTCTATACATTGAAAAATGGCACTCTTGCTTTCACATACTGTTCCATCTTCCTTATTCAGCCTTAGAATTTGTTTTTTTTTTCCTCCTTTGCATTGTCTGGGCATGGAAGAACTTTGTGTTCTTGTCACCGTGCTTGAGCCAATTTACTCTGGACTTCTGAGCTCAGAATTGTTCTTCTGATTTATATGCTTTTTTCAGCTCTCTAGTCAACTTGTCCCATAAGTTCTAATCTCTCAATCCTCCCATCTCTCTTAGCCTAGAGAGTTGAATGTTGCACTCCTCAATTTTCTTTGCACTCTTTGATTTAAAGGAGCTGCTCCATTTTAGGAGTTCTATTCTGGTTTCCTTGATCTTAGATTGCAACTTGTACATAGGAGTTCCTTCTTGTAGTTTGCTCGAGGCTCTAGAAATTGTCTCATGTATTCCATCTCTTCTCAACCAGCGATTGTCGTAAAGAAATCTTCTTTTCTTGTGTTGAGTCTCTGGAGAGCCTTGCAAGAGGAGAAGGTTGTGGTCAGAGGAACTTCTGAAAATGTTAAGGACAGTAGCTTCTGGATATTTTAAGTGCCATTCCATGGATGCTAGAACTCTGTCTAGCTTTGCTTCTATAAATCCCTCATTTTGCCTGTTGTTACCCCATGTAAATGGGTAGCTTTGGAGTGGCATTTCCAGCATTTCCATCTTGTTGATGAAACTGTTAAAAGGCTGGTAAGACTGGAAAGTTCTTATGTTTCCTCCTCTTTTCTCTTCTGGAGTTGTTATATCATTGAGGTCACCTGCCAAGAACCAATACTTTCCCCACTTGTCCTTAGATGAAATCAGATACTTCCATTGCAGACTCCTTTCATTTGCATCTGTACTAGCATATAGGAAAATGCCCCAGCAAATCACTTCCTTAGCTTCATCCCAGAATTCCACCTCAATACAAAAGGAATGCTTGATAAATTTGCTAAGGAAAAATATGATTGTAAACTCTCATACCTGTTACATTTTTTCTCAACTAAAATACATATTTAATATAATATGTCATACTTTTGATTATATTATTTATCTCACATTTCTTTTTTAAAGAAAAGGGTTAATTGCAAATAAAATCTTAACCTTTTGTCTAATTGGTTTGGTATTTTTTTGTCAAATTGAAAAAGTTGAGTTTTATTTGCAATTAGACAAAAGGTTAAGATTTTATTTGCAATTAACCCTTTTCTTTAAAAAAGAAATGTGAGATAAATAATATAATCAAAAGTATGACATATTATATTAAATATGTATTTTAGTTGAGAAAAAATGTAACAGGTATGAGAGTTTACAATCATATTTTTCCTTAGCTTCATCCCAGAATTCCTCAGCAAATCCCTACTCCTTGTGGGTTCGACCCTTGCTCACTACTACTACTACTAGTTGGTAAAAGTCGGTTAAGGAAAATATAAATTTTAATTTTGCCGCGTAACGACGCGCGGTCATTATTATTATTATTATTATTATTATTATTATTATTTGCGTGATATTGGCTAGGAGAATTTACGTACGTGTGAATGGACTCATACCTTTATGTACATTTCTGACCATATTCTATGTAAGTGTTATGTATACCACTATGTACATTTATTATATACTTGTAGCATTTTTCAAACCAAAATATCTTCAAAAACTTACCCAAGCAAGCGTTTTCGTGTTTCAATGACAATGACCTATATTAGTCAGAATTGGCAGTAACTATATGCGATACGCACACTCCACAAGTTCAACTGATAAACCATTTATAACAAAAAAAATCAAGAAATTGTCCATCAACATTCGTCCTTCATAATATCCCATTCTAACTCGATACATGTATATTTGAATAGCTACAAACACCAACAACAAGCAGTAAAAGTAAGTAGAGGCTGTAGAGCACATAATGAGGCACCAACAAAATACAAATCCTTCAAGATTGAACCCACCCCCACTATTTCCAGTACAGTTATATCCAAAAATAGAAAGGGGGCAACAAACAACCTAAGGACATAAAAAAACTAGAAAAAAAGATGGAGAGATCAGAGGACCAAACCTTGAACTGGGGCCGGCTTGGACTCGTCCGAGTCGGACCCTTTAGGAGACTCGGAAAGGTGAACCTGCGCAAAGTCATCGACCATCTTCCTCCTCTGCTCGTCCTCAGCCACCACGACTTTCTCCTTAGTCCTCTGTCCCACCTCCCCAGCCGCCTGACTCACCTTGCTCAAGGCACCCGCAACCCACGTGGTCCCTGTCAGCACGTACCTGTTCTTCATGATGGCCGAACCCGCCAGCTCAGCGGCCGCCAGCGCTGACCTGGCCTTCTCGGTCACGTGCAGCCTCGAGTCCACCTCACGGACTTTATCGTTCACGATGGAGGTCCCAATCGAGATCTTCTCGGTTAAGCCGATTTTCTTGTCGAGTGAAGAGACTTTGGCGCTGGCCGTGGAGGTCAGCCCGTGCCGCTCGTCCAAGGACTTTGCTCGGTTCACGGCGTCTTTTCCGAGAATGAAGCCCTTGGCGAGCATGCTGCTCACCACGTCTTCTGCCTTTTGGATGGCCGACTCGGGTTTCTTGCTCGATGCCTGACGAAATTGAAATTCGTGTTAAGGGGGGAACTTACTTTT